GGGGCGGGGGGAGGGGGTGGCCCGCTGGTGGCCGCGGCAGCCGCGGCAGGGGCGGCCGGGGGCTTCCTGACGGCAGAGAAGTTGGCAGCGGAGAGTGCCAAGGAGCTGGTGGAGATTGCGGTGCCTGAGAACCTGGTGGGAGCCATCCTGGGCAAGGGGGGCAAGACGTTGGTGGAGTACCAGGAGCTGACAGGCGCCCGCATCCAGATCTCCAAGAAGGGCGAGTTCCTGCCAGGCACGCGGAACCGGCGGGTCACCATCACGGGCAGCCCCGCGGCCACGCAAGCCGCTCAATACCTCATCAGCCAGCGGGTCACCTACGAGCAGGGGGTGAGGGCCTCAAACCCCCAGAAAGTGGGATGAGGCCCGTGGTGTGCGCTCCCACTCTTCTCCCTTCCCCCAACCCCTCCTCCTCCCTCTCCTCCTCCCCAACTCCTGACCTCAGCCTGGTGTGGTCCTGCTCCTCTGGGGATGGGGCTGGGGTAGGCCTGACTGCGCCCTCCCCTTCTGGTAGTCATAGGCAGGATTGAGCGATGGTTGGGGACAGGGCTCAGAAGCCCCCTCCCCAGCCCTGAACCGACCCCTCCCTCCTCCCTGTCTGTGCTTGACTGGGCCTGACCCTCCTCTCCCAGGGCCCAGTTCTGTGTGATATCTGTATATATTGCATTTTGTTGATTTTAATAGAAAACAAAGCGTTATTTTCTCTTTCTTTCCCTCTTTTTTTTTTTTTCTTTTGGTAAGGATTTTTTTCCCCCCTTTATAAGTTTTTGTTTCTATATGGGAGGAGGGGAGGGAGCCTCTGGGTCACCTGGAATGAGGGGCCTCCCCTAAACACACCACCCACCTCTCTGCTTTCAGTTCCAAATCCAAGAGAAGTGATGGGAGTAGAGGTAGCCGAGGAGTCTGAGCTGAAATGGGGCATGTGGAGCAGGGACCCCAGAGTTCCCAGATTCTCTCAGCTACTCTCCCCCACAGGAGTTGCCCCTCCTACGTGGGAATTTTCACTCGTTCGTTGTCAGGTTGTTTGGGGGGCAGGGATGGTGCTGCTGGGAAAGAGGTCGGCTCTGGGATTGGGCCAGTCCCTTGGGCAAAAGACTCTTATGAGAGGCTAGAGCAACTTGCGGTGGCATCTCCTATGGCTTTTCCTAGAGTAATGGGAACGAGGGTCCCTATTGTGATATCAAGTACTTTCTGGGGTACTTCTGGATGCTACTTATAATGTCACAGGAAGCACTTCCCCAGAGGTCACCTCCTATGATGATAAGAGACACAGTATGTCCTATGATGTCTCAATGAGCCCTTCCTTAAAGGTCACTTCCATGATGTCATGGGGGCATGTACTTCCTGTGGTGCCTCCAAGTTACTTCCTGTGACGTCACTGGGATGAAACATGCACTTCCTGTATTGGGCAGTAGCCAGTCCCTGACCCTCCTTCTGTACTCACACCTTGGGGTCTTCTTAGTCAGAGAATAAGGGGTGGGACTTGGATCCAACTGGGAGGACTCTAAGGGTAAAAAAAACAGTACTGTCAGGGTCATCTCCATCCAAACACATGAAGTCTGTGAACCCGCCTTGGCAGAGAGGGGTGGGAGATGGAGCTAGTGAAAACTACTGTCAAAGACCCCTCATTCCCACCCCCGCCTTTTATGTGCATGCCTGTGTCTGTGTGGCTTTGTTGCATTGAATCTGGTGAGCCAAATGTGTGGTGGCTCTGTCAGGCCAGTGTGGCCCAGTGTAGAGTTCAGTGAGCCATGGTAGGGTCCCTCAGCCAGAATGCTTTGTGTGGTCTGATGGATTAGATTGGCTTGGTGGCTTTCAGCAAGCTGGCAAACTTTGGTAATGTCTGATGGATTAGAATGCTTTGGTGTTGCTCACCATGGGCTCTGAGGATCTAGAATGTTCTGATGGAGTCTGACAAGCCAGGCAGCCCTGAGAGTTGGTTTGGGAGTGGCTCCCTGAGCACTGAGGTGGGATCATCTCTAAGGCCTGTTGGTGGACTGACATTTCAGAATCTGACAACCTTATAGACTAGGATAGCTGAGACCCACCTCTATCCCCTCTGTCTCCCCCTCCCCCTTGTAGACCACCTCCACTCTCTCCAACCCAAAGCAGGGCCCCCAGTGCCCTAGTTCCATCATCAGCATCTCTGGGGGAGGGGCACCCCATGCCCACCCTCTCCCCCATTTGTCCTCCTCCGAGGTCTTCCAGATCCTTCTTGTCTCCATGGCTTTGGAGGAATCTCTCCTCCACGTCTCTCTCCCAAAAAAAGAGGGAAGAAAAGCCACAGAGACAATTCCCACTCCTAAAGCCTGGGAGACCCCTGCCCCTCACTAAAGAGCCACCCCCAAATCAAAATGTGAAAATCCCTAGAAAGCAATAGCCTTCGAGGTACCTTGCACTGAATTTCCCACCCCAGCCCTTCCACCTGATGGGAGGCTGTAGCTTGGGTACTGGGGTGACTTTCCATGCCCTCACCATCTCCAGGGTGGGGGACAGGCCCCATTTCTTTGTCCTCCATCCCCCACCTCCCATTGCTGCTGCCCCCACCCCTAATCTCCAGACTGAACCCAGATGGAGATCTGAGTGCCAAAACAATTCTTGACGAAATTTTGTACATATCTTCTACAGTTGAGGACTCTTGGGGTTGGAGGTGGGGGCGGCTCTGTGGGCCATTGCTCCCCCTCCACCTCACAAGACCTTACAGTATTCACAGCATCTCCACCCGTACATGGATATTATAGTATCTAGCTGGAATATCCCCCTACGACCCCCCAGGCCCCCATGAAGAGGGGAAGGAGCCAAGGAGAGGTGAAGTAAGGTCTGGGAGTGGGGAGATGGGATATGAAAATGCTCGTTTGCATATCATTTGCATCTTCCGCTTGGCAGCCGCTTTGCTTTCTGTAAACCCATTCGCTGGAGTCTGGGTCCCAATCAGCCGGGTCCAGTACGCCTCTCACACAGACACGTCTCTGGAGGCTGGGCCTCCTGAAAAGTGTTCCCTTAGGTGTCTGTGTGATGACCCCCTCCTTATTCACATTTCTCGGGGACCCCTTACCCCGCCAGCCAGGGCTATCCGAAAGGTAGTTTGCTAGCTCAGTGAGCTAGTTCACTCACCATGTTGGTGAGTGGGGAGCCACACACCTTTCCCCAATTTACCCTGGGACACTAACTCCACCATCTTCACCATCCCTTGAACGTCCCTTCTGCAGTCTTTTGTGCTGCAGTTTGTCCAGAAGGGACACAGATGTAGGCCAGGGATGGGAATTGTTCAAAAACCCACTGCCTCTTTCTTTCTTTCTTTCTTTCTTTCTTTTTTTCTTTCCCTCTTTCCCTGTTAGCCAGTCAGATCTCTGAGACTCTGAGTGGCTTCCTTGCACCCTGCTCTTCAGCACCAGTAGGTGCTTAATAAGCGCTTGCTGTACTGAATTGTCTCCCTCTTTCTTCTCATTTTCCCTCCAGTTTCCAATGCCTTCCCCAGCACTTTCTCTTTCTCTGCTTCCCTGTGGCTTTCTACTTTTTCTCCCTGTGGCTCCCATTGTTATCTGTCCTGTCTCTATCTTTGTCTGTGTCTGTCTTCCTCCTCTCCTCAAGTCTCTCTCCCCATTTCCCCATTAAAAAAGAAAAAGAAAAAAAAAAGTGCCAAACTTCCTTGTAACTGAGCCGCTCTGGGGGGAGAGGACCTTGGACAGAGGGGAGGAAACGGGACCAACTCTCTTTGAGGAGGCACCTAACAGGTACTGAAAAAGTCTGTAGACACTGAGCTAAATTGGGTCCCCCTTCCTCATCCCTCCCGCCCTGAATTTTTCTTAGAATCTTTGTAAGAAAAAAAAAAAAAAAGACAGAAAAAAATTCTCCTTTTCCCCTATCCTTTTGGGTTCCCCCAAATTCCACCAGCCGGGGAGAACCCCACTTGCCTCCTTCGGGGCAAATCTATAGAAATTGGGGAGGGGAGGAAACCTCAACCTCTCCTCTGCTGGCCTAAGGGGCAATACCAACTGGATGTGAGAGAAGGACCTCAAAGCACTTATAAGAAGGGGTTCAATGTGCCAAATTCACCTCCTTCATCCCCTGTCTTAGGGAGCTCTGAGCCAACCTGCCCAGCCACCTTCTTCTGCCCTGTCCCAGCCATCTCTACACAGGCAAGGAGGCTTCACTGCAATAATTAGTAGGGGCGGGGATCAGAAGGCAATGATTTTGCCATCTTTACCTGCCCCATGCCTGCCCTGGACTTGTAGGTGGGAATTATGGGTATCCCAAATGGAGCTTAGAGATGGTTGAGGACCTGTACTTGGAACAGTATGCTACCACTTTTCTCTGAGTGGTATTTCTTTTCCCCCTTGACCCCAAACCCCTCCCTATCCCCTTGTTCTGTTTCTCCTGCCTATTCCTCCATCCCACACCCTCCTTTTTAACTTTGTTTCAGTTTGGTGGCCAACTGTTGAGAAAATGAGAGGCGTTCCCCTGCACTGATTATTGCTGTTTGAAGACCAGGATTAGAGGTTGTGATAGGCCAGTGGCAAAAGTATTAACAAGAGTGGCAATGAGGATAGCAATTTGGGTGTCCAGGCTGCTGACTAGTGCATACCTGTCGCGACAACCAGACAGGCCTTCGCTGTTCACCACGCACCTGCCCAGCCGTCAGGAACCGAGGCTGGCTGTAGTGAAAGCCTGAACTGGATGTCACGATGGGGAGAACGGGATCGCGATACCCAAGTTCGGGCACAGCGGGCCGGGGACCCTGGTTTATGCGCTCGTGGAGTCGGGCTCCCCAGCCCTGCTGTCGCGCTCCCTCTCGGCTGCAGTCAGCGGTCTTGATGCCAGGAGGGAAGAGGGCGCTTAACACCTTGGCGCCGCTGTGGCTGTGTGTGTGCGGTCTGTCCATCTCAATGCCCTACGACAGTCATGCTGGGGATTGCTGGGTGACAGGACAGAGATGCCAAAAGTCTCTGTTAGGGGTGTTGGTGGTGAAGGCTGCTGGTTTTTAACCCCTTTTCAGCCAGTCCAGGATATTCTTGTTTCCCAGAGATAATTGGCGGGGGGGACCGCCTAACCCCTCTCCCCCCCTCCTTCTCCCCACTCCACCCCACCCCTCAAAACCACCAACCTCTCATCTTCTAAGTGACTCCATCACCACCGGCCACCGGGACCTGCAGCCTCATTGCTCCAGCCCGCCCCACTCGACCGTCAGACTCGCTCATCGAACTCTTTTTGATTAACCCTTTCTGTGTTCATCCCACGGAAAACTGTGTGTCCGGCAGGGGGGAGGGGGAAGGCTAGGGGCAGTTGCTACCTTTCCTCCATCTCCTCCCACCGCCCATGCCTCCCCACCCGCACCCCACCCATACCCCCAGCCCTATCCCTCCGCGCTAGGGTCGCCCCGCCCTGGGGATAGAGATCTCTATTAATACCTATGCTGTTTGGCTTTGTCTCTTTAAAAGGCGGGCCCAGGGGTGTGGCCTCCCTCAAGGGGAGTGCTCACTCTGGTCCCACCCCTTCCTGTGCCCCCCACACACTCCCCACGCCTTCATTGTAAATAGTCACTTTTGTACTGGGTTTGAGCCAGGGGACGTGGGGAGTCATCTTTTTCTTTGTGTTGGCATCTAAGGCCACTGGAGGCATGGCCCACATCCCGGTTAGATTTGGGAGAATCCCCAGGTGTGTCCTTTCACCTTCTGCCAATGCTAAGGATTTCAAGACATCAGTGTTAC